GAGGAGGTGGCTGCCAGCCGCGTGGCCCAGGGACCCGACCCTTCCCTTCCCTTCCCGGGGTGGAGAACTGGGCCGAGCTCCCCGGCATGAGCGGCTGCACAGAGCCGCCCCTGGTTTGGTCGGGCGTTAACGGGTGGCCCTGATTCGTGGGCTGCCCCGGGGAGCCGAGGGTCCCTCAAAGATAAACGCGCAGGCTTGCAGGAAGCCAACGTGGTCGGGCATCATCAGTACCGATCTTTACAAGAGCTAGGGAATTGGTGCACCGTTGGAGAGTCTGCAGCAGATCTCCAAGATGTACAGGACTTCTTGGTCAAATAGTGAGCAATTTTTTTTTGTTTCTTTATTTAAAAAAAAAAACTTTTCTGAATCTAAATTTCTATGATCTTATGTTTTCATTAGGAGCACATTCATAGTGTTAGTAGGAGTAATAGGGGAGGAGTCTCTCTTAAGGATTATCATGTGCCGGGAGCAGAGCTGGTTTTGCAAGTTTGTAAAGGTAATTGTCCTACTCTGTGCATTGTTCTTCGGCTTTCTTTGTTTGGCATTGGAGAGCTGAACTGTGCAAAGGGAGCTAGAGGTGAGATTTAGTGATGAAAGCTAAAGGCCCTTTAACAGCTTCCGGTGGTTTGGGCCTGTAGTATCATTCATCCATATGTTATTATGACCATAGGAGAATACTTTATTTTCATGAAACATGTCTTTTGCTTGGAAACCTTGTTAAAGAAGATTTTTTTAAGGCCTTGGGTGTACCCAGAACTGGATGTGTTTGATATTGAAGCTGAAATTACTTTTAGGAACCCTGACTGATGTACTGTAGTTGTGGCTTTGAATGTCTTACTCTTGAGTGCAGTTACATTACATGATAGCCTGACGCTTCCTTTGTGTTTGGGAGCTGTCAAATAAGGTAAATCTAGCGCATCTTCAGAGGCAGCACGCATGGACTTTATTTGCTTTATAATGGTCTGTTAACAGATAAGAATTGGTGTACTATTTGCAAGCTGTATTTTGGTGATGTTTCTCTGCATTGAGAGCACCCATTTGCTAAGGACATTTATTTCCTATAACACAGCATTCCCGTGATTACTTTAAACTAGCCCATGGTGGCACTGCCATGAATCAGCGCAAATGTTTATGCTGTGAACTCAGTTGGGGATTTTACCCAGGTTAAAAATAAATCTTGGGAAAAGTTGGTTGGTTTGTTTGGTTTTTAACTTGTTTGTTCTTTGGAAGTTGTGTGAGCTCAAGGGAGAAGGGAGACTTCAGAGGGGGTAAGATAGCTTCTTTTGGGGGTAGAACTAGTTTTTGTTGGTCTCAAATAATTGTAATGCTCTGTTACTACTATCAATTGCTTCAGAGTGGGAATTCACAAAAGGTTCTGGTAGTGGTGTAATGTCTAACACATTTGATCGACATTGAACATGCTGGACAGGATGGAATGTAAATATTTGGAAGAGGAATTGCTTAATCTTTGTCACTTGAGCTTGCTACTTAGTGCTAGGGATGTCATTATTATTCATATTGCAATCTCAAGATCTTCCACGCTATGTGAATTAATGGGCACACAAAGCATTCTGTGTATGTGTGGGAGGTGGTTGAGGGAAAACATAGATGTATTTGGGAACCCTCCATTTTGGGCGTGGCTTTACTGAAATTAAAGCAAATTACTGAGTGTGTCGGTGCTTTATTGAACTTAGGCCTTTCCTATACATGCTTTTCCTGATGTGGCTTTGAATAATACCCATTGATGCCCTTCTTAATGATTGAAGTTTGATTGTAAAAAGTGAAAGTTTCTTCGTTCTTCTTTTGATGAGAAAAGCATTTGTCATCTCATGGTAGAAGCTGACCTGTAGGGACACTACCTTTTTTCTTTTATTTTCTCATTGGCTCTGTATTGGGAGAGGTGTTTTTTTTTTTTCTTTCCAGTAGGTAGGGAATTTAATAGCAATAGACAAACCTTTCTTAATTTGGAAAAACAACTATATGTTTTAAGCAATATGTTTAAAACTGTTTAAGCAGTACCCTTTTAGAGCATCTCCTGGGGTTTCCATGTTCCTTTAAGTTAGAGTAAAGTTTTTTTTTTTTAATCGATAGTTTTTTTTTCTAAACTGAACAGAACAAAATATATATGACAATAAAGTTAACTCATTATTTTGCTTAACTGATATGAAAAATCAGATGAGGACAGAAAGAATGACCTCTCACTATCTTACTGTCACTGGAATTTTCACTGTTATAGTATTTCCCTTTACTACTTGTTCCCTCATGTCCTCAGATAATTATTGTTTACTTATTTTGGCTTTTAGATTTAAACAAAAACAAATGATAACAAACATGCTGTGATTGTAATTTGTTGTATGTCTGCTCTGATAAGAAAATACTTGAGAATTTCAGAGTTCAGTCCAAGATCTGAGGCACTGTACATCAACATTCCAGCTTGCAAATGTTTCTTCTGAAATACTTAAGACACTTGACACACATTGGTGTGTTTAATGTGGTTCTTGAACCTGAGCCAATAACATGGGAGTAGTCATGATGCAAGAAATATCATAACTTTTTTCTTTAGAGTCAGGTGAGGTAAATGGAAATCTTAACAGGAATGTTTCAGTTCAACCTACCTGTTCTGAATCTAGTGTATTGGCTTACCTGAGAGGATTTGCAGGAATTAGCAGTGGACAATTTGAATGTTTAAACTGAATATTTCCAGAGAATGCGTACCCTTTAAGGCCTATATAGATTCCCAGTGCTGAATAACTTGAAAATACCTGTCTTTTCTGTAAAAAACAGTTTTTTCCTGCTTCATTTTCAGTGCTGAAATGTGCCATAGGTGCAGTATACTCTCATCTGTTTTTTGTTAGACAACAGATGAACATTTGGCAGAAATATATTTTATTCTCCTCCAGTTTTAAGCTTCCAGTTTTACAAGAAATACTAAACCAGCAGAGACCAGATGTCTCTGAGGTTCTGTCAACTTTAGAAGGAGGGGAAAGAAGGGGGAAAAAAAAAAGTCTCTTTCTCTTTCCACTCCTGTTAACAACCTGCATGGTTCTAACTCCTTTGAACTTACTCTGGCTTTTGTGTGACCACAGAGTAAGCAGATTCATTTTTCCACCCAGGAGAAACCTGTCCACTTTTTGAGGGGTGAGTGGGAAGAGACTTAGTGTTCCAGTGGCGTAGTGATTGGAATTGCCTGGTAAAAGGTGTGTGGCACACACCTTGTGCCAGCTAAGTGGTCAGAAGCAGAGAGGAAAGAGAAGATTGGAAGGCATGTAGCAGGCCCCCTCATTGACTGTGAGATAGATCCAGTCCATCCCATGTACCTTCAATCATAGAGACTAGAAGAGTCTTGCTGTAAGGTATAGATAGCTACTAAACATTGTATTTGTGTAACTCCTGAATCTTCCCTGGTTGATTTTTGCTGGACATCTTTTGGTGGTGCCTTTTGATTTGAATTTTGTGTATTAAATAGCTCCTCTGTGGTTAGATGCTTAGTAAGCTCTAAATTCCATCTAAATCATTATCTGTGGTCTTGTTTTGTGTTAACCCTTATTCTTGTCATGACTAATTTTAGCTCTGTACGCTACCTCTAGTGATCAAAATCACGTATACCAAATTTACAGGTATGTGTGGTGCTGTGGTTGTCTCTGATAATCCTTCTGAAGTGTGATTCTTGTGTTGCTGAGTCTGAGATGAGAGATGGCTGAATCCAAGCTAGAGTGTTGAAGAGAGACACTGCAGGACTGGAGTGCTGGGGAGAGACTTAGAGATTGCTAACGACATTTTTCAGAACTGAGTTTTATTATATGTGGTCTAAAGAGATGAGGCTAGAAGTCCAGGAGTAGAGGATTAAATTATCATAAGAAAAGAATTAGAGGGCCAAAATAATAGATATGGGATGAAATCCAATTATAAACAAGCACAGAGCAGTCTGTGTTGGGAACTAATCGCAACTTCTGCTAGCAAATAAAACTCTACTGAGCCACCCGTGTGAGCCTCCTGGAGAGGAGGCAAATGTGATCCTCTGTACCAGGGGAAATTTTTTCAGGAAAGAGAGTATCTATGGAAGTTACCTCTCTGTACAGGACACTGGTGAGATTTTCTTGGGAAGTCTTGTGTAGAGTTCTGGTCAGCCATGTTTAACAGATAAATTCAAGTTGGAGCATATAAGATAAAGGCTGGTCGATAATGAGAGTCAAGAGCCTATTATGTGATAGGAGACTAGAAATTTAGTTTTACTCTAATGGATTGGACTGGAAGGGGATTTGTCATCCATAAATATGTTGTGGAGGTAAAGGTAGGGAAGTAAATTACAGAGGTTAAAAGAAAATACTGACTCAAAACCGAATACATATAAACTAGGCTAGTTATTAGGAGAAAGTTCCTACTATGGGACAATTAGGTGTTGAAGCTAGTAGCGAAGGTGAAAACACAAAGAACTTGTTAAGCTGCTGAAAACTTGTATAACACAGTGCCTGTGATAGGATTTTGGACAAGGTAACCTAGGCCTTTTCTTTGCACCTGTAAGCGATTATGTTGCTGGTGGTGTTCATTTAGTAAAGTTAAACTCGGATTGCTTCAGTGTGTTTATCCTGTGGCTGTGCTCTTTATAGGTGGAGTATAGAGAGATGGATGAGAGTCTTGCAAACCTGTCAGAAGATGAGTATTACTCTGAAGAAGAGAGAAATGCCAAAGCTGAGAAAGAAAAAAAGCTGCCGCCACCACCTCCACCAGCTCCTGCAGAAGAAGAAAATGAAAGTGAGCCTGAGGAGCCATCTGGTGAGTAAAGAGAGACCTTCCCTGTGGCAGTATTTACCTGTTTTATTGACAGAAATTAAGGGGGGTCAGGTGCAGCATCATGAGTCCTGTTTGTTGGTGGTTTTTTTTTTTTTTTCCTTTTTTTTTTTTTTTTTTTTTTTGCTGGCCCCATGTGTATGGAAGGAGGGTAAAAATGCAGAAGAGTAGCCCAATGAAGATTGGGAGTATGCATGATATAATTGCAAACAAAGCCAAACCTCTCATACTAAGATTTCTTTTTTCATCCTTATTAGCATGTCTTTAGAAATTTCCTACTGACCAGAATAGCCTCCTTGGCACTTAGCTGTTGCACCTGCTCGTATATGAACATTCACTCTCTCTTCTGAGAGAAATAACATTAGGTTTATGGGGGAGTTGCTCTGTAGAAGAACAGATTTAGTTGATAGTGATTCCCCTGACTTTAAACTATGAATCTAATCTTAAGTTCTCATTAGATACAGTTTGCTTAAACTTCAGTGCTTTTCTCATTACCTTTGACAGAGTTGTGAAGTTTCTCTTTACGATGGGAAGTTTGTTGTTCAGCCTTGTTCAGGAAGCAGCAATAGCATTTACTGAAATTCATGGTATTAGAAGTATGCCATCCATTCTTTAACTCTGTTGTGTTTACAGCTACCAGCATTTGGTCTCATGTTGGTGTATCAAGCTGGTATCCACAAAATCATGCTTTTGCGAAGTTCAGCTGCCAGAGAGATTTTTGTAATATTAAATGTGTGCTAGCTGGTTTTAGACAATAGCTGAAATCTAATAGTTGAACTCTTGCTGGTTTGACACTTATGTTGTCTTCAGTTCTGCTCTTAATTTGTTTCTTTTTGGCAGGCAGGTTTGAGCATGTAGACACACCATTTGAATCTAATATCAGCTTGGGGATACTTGCCTTTAGTTTCTGGAAATACTGAAAGCCGCAGTTGTTTTATATGTTAGGGCTTGTCTCTGCAAATTCTCCTCAGCTGTGGGCTCCTGCCTTGATATATCCTCCTATAGCTCATATATGTTTGACTGAACACTTAAAATGATGAAAATCTCCCTCTTTTTTCCCATTCGCATTCATGGCTGAGCTATTAAAAATAGAATTTGAATAGAAGTAATTAAGCAAGTGTCTTAAGTTCACTGTTTAATTTAGCTTACACTTTTGGGGTTTAATCCATGAAATACAATACTAATACACTTCCAAGGTATTTCTCGGGTGCCATTTTGTGCATTTAAGAATGATCCTGGAGTTCAGTTTGAGGCATAATCAGTGAAGGACTCCCACCTTTTTACCCTCTGCAGGAAGAAAAGGTGGAAGAGAGTCAGTGATAGCCTTATGATAATTCTATGTACGTCTAAGTCTGTTTAGCAGTTATTCTGCAGGCATCATGTTTAGTGAGCTAGATAGAACCTGTTTTAAAACTAGATTTCAGGTCGTTATCCTTTCTCCATGGCTAGAAATCCTGTAATATGCATGAAACAGTGATGTAGGATGGGCATGTGAAAGAAGACAGAAAATTTCAGTTATCTTTCTGTAGCTAGTCTCACTACGTTTCCAAAGGCTTCCAAAACTATGCGCATTGGTGGATATCTCTGTCTTTCTTTTCTAAGATGCAGGCACCAGAGCATGAGTTCATCTTCTGCTGACTGTCAAAGTGTATTGAAACAACCAATTCCAACAAAGTTAGCAGGATAAGGCATGAGGACTTGTTAGCAGGACAAGGCTTGAGGAGAAACTTCTTGACTGTGAGGGTGACAGAGCACTGGAACTGGTTGCCCAGAGAGGTTGTGGAATCTCCTTCCCTGGAGATATTCAAAACCCATCTGGATGTGATCCTGGGCAATATGCTCTAGAGGAGCCTGCTTGAGCAGGGAGGTTGGACTAGCTGATCTCCCGAGGTCCTTTCCAACCTAAACCATTCTGTGACTGCTGTATATTCTAATATGGGTGCAATATTTAGAATTGAGCTGTTCTCTTGATCACTTCTGGGAAGCAGGAATATGTAAATGTTTTATAAGAAATACTAAATAGGACAGTGGTATTAGAGCAGGATAGCATATTTAACAAGGTACAAAAGTTAGTGTATTACCATTAACTTATTCTCACTGCAGGGCTTTATTTTATCAGACCTGGAAATATTTTAATTTTCGTTGTGTGTTTAAATCCTGCAAAAACCTAGGTAGTGCAGTAAGGATATAAAGCGCTCTTGTTCATTTTATTACCTTTTTTTGTTGAAAAGTCTAATTGTGCAAACTTTTAACAAATGTAATAGTAACAGTAGCTGGTATTTCAGTACTCCATACTCAGACAATTAACATTAGAAGGAGAGTATTAATTATTACAATTTAGGAAATAGCAAAATGTTGGATTTAATTGGGGTGGGCTCCATTAATGTATTCAGGTGGAGCGGTTTCAGATGTCCTGGTTATGCAGAGTGTTAGTATCTGAATTTGCAAGATTTACTGCAAATTGTTGCAGAGCAGTTCTGAAAGGGGTAAGAGTATTTCATGATAGTTTAAATTTCCTTAATTATCTCTGCTTCTCTTTTTTATTTGAGAAGTATTGTCTGATAGCAAAAAGCTTCCAAATTCATTTTCAGTGTTGAGTTACATTTGAGTTATTGTTTGCCACTATCCCCTCTGGAATTAAGGAGTTTGCTACTTTTGTTTTTCTTCTTCTTTGCCTTGGCTAAATTGAATTTTCCTTTTCAATGCTTCCTGAAGATTTCCTTTCTCAGCTCCTGTTTTTCTAGTTTTGTCAGTGTTCTTAGTTTGTGGTAATTGATGTTTCTAGCTGCTGTTTTCCAAGGAAGTGTGAGACTGAATATGATCCAGACTAATATCATACGACTAGTCAGATTCAGTGATGCTCTGCCTTTGTCTTTTCTCATCTGATCTGACTGTTCTCTTAATTAAATTCAGCACTTAGTTTTGGTCATCCTGTGCTGCTATTCTTTACCTTAAGGCAGTGGATGATTGTATGAACCGGACCAAAATGAAATGGACTCTTCTGCAGATCTTCCTGATTGCTGTTAAGACTGCAATCCATTATTCTATTGCCTTGACCCTTTCAGCAGATCCTTTTCCTGTACGCGTTCAGCTGGAATGGTTTGACATTGGGCAAGGATCAGCAGTTTGTTTGCTGCTTTGGGAAAAGCTTCCTTTTACTTCGTTATGGGGACGGAGAGACAATCTGAGTGTGAGGATGTATAATGTCTTGTTTCTACAGTTCTGTACTCAGACTGGGTGTTGCTTGCAGCAATGAGTAATGAGCAATTTTTTTTTTTGTTTGACCTAACATTGAAACACTGCTCTTAACACAAGGGGAAGTTTTGAATCTTTTTTGTAATTAAACTGAGAGCAGCTTTGCCCCCTCGGCTCAGTGTCAATGCCAGTTCAGGTAAAATGACTGCTACAGGCTGATGTCAGCATCTTTTCAATTTTTTAAATTATTGAAGGGGCAAGTATAACTTTTCACACAAATAAGGGCCTATAGTAGAGGGTAAATGTTCGTGCTGGGTTGTGTTATTCCCTCCCTGAGCGGAAGCAGGTACTGTAATGTTGGAATATGTTCCCAGCAAATAGCATCAAGTGCTTATGATGTAAGTAAAGTTAGGCATTTTCTCTTGCTATTGCAGATACATTCGGTTGATAGGATCCTGGCTTTGGGACTTTTTGAAGCTTGTTGAGATACAAATATTCCTTGGCTCAGTCTCTCTTGTGAGTCTCTGAACTTTCCTGCTAAGTAGGCTAGATATATAGAAATACAGACTTACTCCTCTATTGTAATTAAGTGAAAATGTCTGTCTTGTTTCAGGGCCGTATTCAGACATGTGATAAGCTAGTCCTTTTATGGCTAATTAAACTTTTCTTAGGAGCCCATGTCTTGGGTCACAGTGAAACTAGAGGGCCCTGAAGTACTCAGTGCGCTCAGTAATTTTGTGGGGATCTTCATAGCATAGTGTTGAAACTGTTTAAAATTTGTTTATTTACTATTCTAATTTTATTTTATCTGTATACATGAAATGTTATGGTGTTCCAGATGTGCACATAGCTTATCAAAGTGTGGAAACACTTGATTTGTTTTTGTATATTATTTTAGGAGTTAAATTTATTTTTCAGATCAAATTCTTAAATTATATTTTTAATACTAAATCAAGTATCTCCTGAGAGCTTCAAACTATGTTCTGGCAGAATTGTCTACCCCATCCTAAACTCTACAGAGTAATCTTAACTACTGTGTTTTGAACACTTTTCTTACATGTTTGAAGATGGCTCCTTGAGCAGTTGTACCTTGAACAGTCTTGGTCTAGGAAGTGACTGTTTCATTAGCTGCCTTGAGCACAAGGGTTTATTCTAGTGGGGGTTTGTTTGGACTTCAGAAAACACCCAATGTGCTGACTGTTGGGACGTTCTGTGAAGATCTCTGCTCTGAAGGTGCTTAGATATGTGTCTGGGTAGCCAGACAGGGCTCAGTTGTCTCTGTAGTGTTCCATTGCTTCCTGGTCTTTGGAGCTGAGAAGATTTTTAGACTAACGTTTGATTGTAGAAGAATATCACTTACAAGGTAAACTCAGAGGTGGCTTCTCTTGTAAAGATTAGCAGTGTGTAAGGAGATGACCTATGTTAGCTTGTTCTGATAGACATCACAGCTGTGCTCATCTTTTCCCATAAATATTCTGTTTCCAGTTGTATTTCAGTCCTATCAAGGCTGTTATTTAGGACTTACATTCAGGCTAAGGTAATTTTGAGACCTCTTCAAATCTTTCAGCTGGAGGCTTTACCTTTCCTCATGTTTCCAGCTCTGGATACACTGAAAGTCCAGTGTTCTTCAGTGCGAGGTGTTGATCACATCAGTGATCTGTGGATCAGCAGTATTGGCGCATGCTTGGCTTCAAAGGTTGTCTTAGTGTATTAAAGGAGTGTTGGTGCACCAAGGGCACTAAACCCAAGGTAACTGGCTTGTGCCTTTTATAGACTTTGTTATTCCTTCATCAAGCTTCAAGAAAAAGTTCATGGCAAGAAAGGAAGAGGTTCTCTTGAAATTAAGAGGCTTTTCAGAATGGTTCAAATCATCCCCTTGCCTATTGGGAGACTCAGGGATATCAAGGGCAAGATTATCAAGCTCTTATGATTTGAGACCCATAGGATCTGACAGTACCCATCCACCCGATCTTTAATCTGTTAGTAAGAAATATGATCTTATTATTTAAAATCTAGCCATTAATCAACTTGATCATAAGTATTTAGCTGCCAGTAATGCTACATACGGTGTACTTCTAGATTTCCCATAAAAGTCTGATTTAAAGGGTTCCAGTAACATGGATAACACTTCAGAAGACCACAGAGTTTGGTACCCTGGACCTAGATTCCAGAAGATGGGATTCTCAGAAAATGGGTTTAGTTAGTTGGTGAAATTTAATACCTTAAGAACGCCAACTGCCGGGCCTTTATGTCCAGTATGATTTAACCTATGGAGTAAGGTCCCTGAGTTCTCCTCTTTCCTTCCACAGGGCAAGCAGGAGGACTTCAAGACGACAATTCTGGAGGGTATGGAGACGGCCAAGCATCAGGTGAGGGTGGCGTTTGATGCTTGCCACTTAGTAGCAAGAGCCGCCAAGTTAGGGATTGATGCTTGCAAGTGCGCATGGGTGCGGGTGTCCAGAACTTAGCAAGGTTGTTTGCTCACCTATTAAAAAAGTGAGGGGTATTTTCAATCAGTTGAGGTCTGTACCAACTGTGGGAAAGGAAACTAACTTATGTTCAAATGCCTCAGGCCGATCTCTCATCCCTCCACTCCTCTCTCTGTTCAGAGGAGTCCAAAAATGCAAAAAGGTACTTCTTACCTAGCCAGTTTCTATCAGTTAGAATGATGCTGAGAGCCTTGGGCTTCAGAACACTAGGCCTTTTTCTAATTTGCTGAAGAAACTGTGTGGATTGGTGTGTTTTTTTTTTGTTTTTTGGTTTTGTTTTGTTTTGTTTTTTCTCTTAAGGGATTGAGTAGTTAGCCCAGAAGACTATCTTTTGGGGAGATTAGTCTGCTTTTCAGTGGACTGGACTGTGAATTGCATTCGATGTTTGGTCTAAGCATCGATGCTAGTGGTATGCACTTATTGTTTTAATTCACGCAATTGGTATCTTTATTCTTAAGTACTTTTAGACTGCTACTAAAAATCTTCCTCCAACCCTGCTGCTTTCATTCTCACTTGAGGAGTGAGGATTAGAGCTTTAAGCAAAGGAGTCAGAGGCTCCAGAACCTGTTCTGTACATCGAAGTTAATCTTTTTGAAGCAAATGCAAATTCAAGATACTCATCTGAAAGTGCATCCTTGCTGTCCGAAGTAAAGGAGCCTAGTTATGTTATGAATCTTATCACTTGTACAGAACTTCTGAATTCTTTAGATAGTGGATTTAAGGATGCATCGTCTGTTTCATTTTTAGGCAGATGTTGATTCTGTTTGCAAATTCTGCATATGTTGCACTGAATGTATGCCAGGGGTGTACATTAGCAAGTTAAGGATTCAGTAGCCAAATAACTTTCTTTCAGAGTGCTTGATGGATTTTTCATCTGCAGATGTTTCAGTGAGTCTTTAAATGAGCAGCATCCCTCAGGATTTCTTCTGTGGGGGAGAAGATAAATAACCAAAACCTCACACATGAGTTGCTGGCACTTAACGGTTGCTGGTACTTGCTGGTACTGGCAAGTATGTGTGTGTGTGTGCATGTGTGTGAAGAAGAAATGAGTCTAGGCAGGACCATTGCTACATTAATTAAAAAGTTGCCTACCTACTATGTTGAAGAAGGTGTATGTAGTTCTGGATTGAGACTCTCTTGTTATGCTGCTTTCATGAAACACAAAAGAATAAATGAGGAACAATTTAATCTAACTGAAAGTGATTTAATTTTGATCTATGTAGTTGCAAAAGTAAATTCAGCTTCTAATACGATCTTCTGGTGGTTGAAGCCAGTAAAATAATCTCTTTGCTAATTATACTTAGACTTTTTCTAAATTGTTGAATGTTGAATCCTGTTTTTTGGTTTGCCTTGATTCTCATTGAACACTATTCCTGACATTTCATTTAAAAATTGGATACTGTCCAAAGAGCTATGTGGCCTTAAAACAAACAAACAAAACCCTTGAGGATTACAAAAGCTGTTTTTAATTTTTAACAACATGGACTCATTTTCAAGGCTATTTGAAGCACCAGGTTCTCTGGCCTCCTCGGTTTGAAGAGATGAACAGCAAAACTTATCGAGAAACTGGGGAGCTGGATTATAAATCCACATCTGCTAGTTCTGTCTTAGTTGGTCAGTCATTATGCATCTCAGTCAACACTTCTTAGAAAATATCTTGAGCGGGCCCATGCCTTTCAGTGCAAGTCTGTAAAGGAAGTCAGGTAACTAGAGCTTTAACTGACTAGTCTCTGAAAATTGTGCTGCTGAGCTTTTTGCTGGCACTTGATGAACTAGGACCTTAAAGTTTTGTTATATGAATGAAGTGTGAGAGAATCGGTAACTTTGATTTACGTGGTAGTGTGACAGAGTTTATAGTTCAGCTTATATATTCATATGCAGATGCTTGCATGGTCAGTCACAATGTCAAATAGAAGGAAAACAAAAGGGCTAGAGGAATGCTTGTTACTCAAGAAATTGAAGTTTTATCCTTGCTATGGGTTTTTGTTCCACAGCTGGATATTACTATCAAAGTATTACTTGTGTGTCAATTTTTCCTGTTGTAAATTTCAGTTTTACTTCAAGGTAGTGCTCTATATCCTCTGTTACTAATTTCCTCTTGGTGTCAAATTCCTGTAAATGATTATAGACAATTTTCTTTACCTTCAGTCATCACACAGTCAGATCTTTTAATCATTGCTTATGAATGAATTTTGTTAGCTTCACAACTGTTTTCTTGCTTAAATTTTTTTTCTTCATCTTGGGGATGTAAAAATGCTTGGAAATTAATGGTTTGTGTGGTTGCATCAGAACTGAAAGAAGAGGATTTCCTGCATTTCCCCAATACAGTAATGTGTACTTGGCACATGAACTACAGACTTTCAAACAGGTGTCTTGGTGTAAAATGCACTGCAAGCTTATATATCCTTTGATATTTATTACAATTATTTTGAACAGCTCCAGATTCAGTAAATGATCTTAATCTTATTATATTATTTGTGCTTTTTCCCCTTGGGATGTATTGGCTTATATCTTTCCAGATTGAATGTCCTCTCTTCTGTCTTTCCTGATCTTCCTAAGTCACTTCCTAGGATATGAGTTTTATATTGTCCTCGCTGTATTTCGCATCTCTGTGTTTTGCTCCCTGTGCCTGCAAGATGCACCTTCTGCAGTCCGTTTCTGCTGCAGCACTTCATGCAGCTGTGTCTTGGTTTGTTACTTTTTATACAGTATAATTTATATTCAAGTAAGATTGAGGAATGTAAGGTAGATAGCTTTAGTCTTAGTTCACTGCCAGTGTTAAGTCTGTTTGAACTATGTTAGTTGGAAAGGTGCCTTTATGAATGAAGTCTTTTCACAAAGAAAATGTCTCCTGTGGATGTTCAACGTTAGTCATCATGTGGATAATTTACAAAGAAAAGGCAGAAATCTAGTGATTTTGATAGCAGGTAATACTTGGGGAGGGGATACAGAAATAGCTTGAGTAGGTTTGTGCTACTTTGCAGTGCATGCTGTGGATATATAAAATAGGCAAAAAGATAGGCTAAGATGGATTCCTCCTGATCTAGGAGGTTCTCCTCAGTGCAAGTGAAACCATGGAAAGCAGATGAGAGGGGACTATTGGCATTATGCTTATTGCTTATAGATCTTTTGGCTTTGTACGTGCTCCAAAATGTTTTTAATACTCTGGTAGAACCTGGAAACCAAAGCAAAGGTCAGAATCTAAGGCTGTTAAATTTTATTGATACTCTGTCCTCCCCTCCCCGCCTTGTTTTTCAGAATTGTTTTGTTTTTGTTTTGCTTTTTGCCATAGTGTAGCTCTTTCATTGAAACTAGATAATATCTGTAATTCAAAGAACTGTCTAACTGAGAAGCTGCATGTCTTGCAGAAATAATAAAAGGAGAAAATGAAAGCATAGCGTGAAAAGTCAGCATGTCACCTCATGGCTCTTCTATATGCATTGGCTAGGAAGTGTAGCGTAACAATACTTACCTAGCAGTTTCTTTTGCAGTACTTGTAGACAACCTATCTTTTTATTGTAGGTGTGGAGGGTGCAGCTTTCCAGAGTAGACTTCCACATGACCGTATGACATCTCAAGAAGCTGCCTGTTTCCCAGATATAATCAGTGGGCCACAGCAGACTCAGAAGGTGTTTCTGTACATCAGGAACCGCACAGTAAGTTTATTGTAAAAGTATTGAAGCAAAAGGTGTTCAAAAGGGCATGTCTGTACCATAATACTTTGCAAAGAGTTTCTGGCAGTTACCATGCCTAGTAGTTGGTCGTTTTTTGCTTTTGTGATGGTGTTGTTTCACTTCCGGCATCCTATTGTGCTCTAAGGTGCAACAGGAGATGTTAATTCGTTCTTGATTGAGGCAGCGTTGTGAGGCAGTGCAAAGAAACTGTAGTATATTCACAGTATCCAAAACACAGTCATAACAGCCATTAAAACTATGTGATTCAGTTAATGTGGTGTGTGGTTTTTTTTTTTTTTTTTAAATCACAACTGTGGTACAAAAATTCTTTTTTTTTGGTCTCAGCTTAAAATCCTTATAGACTACTTAAGGAATAATATTCAGTCAAACAGCTTGTTGCTTAGAGTAAGGTAAAAGCATTCAACTTCTCTTGCTTTTTAGTTTGCTTGGAATTCACCTGCCATAATATAGAAACCTCTAGTCAGTCATGTGACTTATTCTCAGAAAGGAATTTTCCAAATTTCCAAAGGAACTTTGCCAAATTTGATTTCAAAAAAGAAATGGGAAAGTTGAAGATGCAAATGAAACCTCTGCTTCTGCAAGTTTGTAGCACTTTGGTTCAATCCAAAACTTTCATGCAATTTAAAGCAAAGAAGAAAGGGACAATATTCAAATAATTAATTTAGAAGACTTTTGGCAAGCTTGCCTGAACTTTAAACCTTAATAAAACTTTAGTACTGTGTTTTTGTGGGTGATGTTTTTAAATTGGGTTACTTTTTTAGGCACCTTAGCAAGCAAACAGGGCTCAGCGCTTTTCCCTGTGCTTAGAAAATAATTTTTTTAGAAAAAGTAAGCCATGTTATAAGAATTAACAATAGGAAAGCGAAAATTAACCTGGAAATCTGTATTACTACCATACTTCAGAGATGAAACAATTTATGTAGTGTACTTCAATCTATTATAGTTGTATAAACTGTGAAAGCTTAGTACTTAGAGGAGTACTTCTGTGGTTCTTGTATTTCTGGAGCAAAACTGCCCCCCTCCTCAAATAGTGCTTTACCCTTACAAATAGCTGATTTTCCTCTCAGATGCCTCACAATCTTATGCTTGGGCTAGCTTGGAAAGATTCTATGATATTTGCCATCTCATCCATCATGACTGTTTATTTCCCTCTCCATGAAAGATGTGTATGTATATAGTTACCTTAAAGGCCGTTTCCTTTAAGGTATTCCTTTAATACCTTCTCAGTGCTATGGGAGGTCCCAAAGACGAGAGGCATTGGGAATCCAAGGTGCCAAGGGAGAGGCATTGGGAATCCAAGGTGCCAAGGGAGAGAGACTGAAGGAAGGGAATTAAGTGTTAGAGTTAAAGTATTCATGTTGGTGATGGAGTGTTGTCAACTTTTATTTGTTTAAATGTCTGACCATGTATTTTCATTAGAGGTACAAAGCCCTAAATGGCTTAGGTATTAAAAATTTTCAGTGGCACATCTTGTTGTTTAGCACAGAACAAAGAACACAGTCAGCGTTCCCTGACAGCATGTCTGAGTGAGCTCTGCCAGCTGAATGACCTGGATGAAGGGACAGAGTGCACTCTTGGCAGGTTTGCTGATGACACAAAACTGGGAGGAGTGGATGATAAACCATAGGGCTGTGCTGCCATTTAGAAGGACTTCGACAGGCTGGAGAGATGGGCAGAGAGGAACCTCATGAAATTCAACAAAGGCAAGCGCAGGGTCCTGCCCCTGGGGAGGAGTAACCCCAGGCACCAGTACAGGCTGGGGGTTGACCTGCTGGGAAACAGCTCTGCAGAGAAGGACCTGGGAGTCCTGGGGGGCAACAAGTTCAGCATGAGGCAGCAATGTGCCCTTGTGGCCAAGAAGGCCAAGGGTATCCTGGGGTGCATCAGGCAGAGTGTTGCCAGCAGGTGGAGGGAGGTGATCCTGCCCCTCTCCTCAGCCCTGGGGAGGCCCCACCTGGAGTACTGTGTCCAATTCTCGGCTCCCCAGTACAACAGCTGGGCCAGTTGAGCCTGGAGAAGAGAAGACTGAGAGGGGATCTCATCAGCGTGTACAAGTATCTGAAGGGAGGGTGTCACGAGGATGAGGCCATTCTCTTCTCCGTGGTGCCCAGCGACGGGACAAGAGGCAATGGGCAGAAACTGAACCACAGGAAGTTCCATCTGAACCTGAGGAAAAAAACTTCTTGGCTGTGAGGGTGACAGAGCAGTGGGACAGGTTACCCAGAGAGGTAGTGGAGTCTCCTTCCCTGGAGCTATTCAAAACGCATCTGGACGCGATCCTGGGAAACATGCTCTAGAGGACCCTGCTTGAGCAGGGAGGTTGGACTAGATGATCTCCCGAGGTCCTTTCCAACCTAAAGCATTCTGCGATTCTGTGTTATCGGAGCAATGCAGTAATCCATTCTCCAAATAAACAGTTCAGTGCCTCAAAACCTTAATCTAAAATGAGCGTGATAGTCTTTCATTTAGCTTTTGGGGAAGGGGGGGAGAGGAGGCAGGAAACAAATTTTCTACTTGCTGTTATTAAGGAAAGCAGAAATTAACAACACCAGGGATAACTTTGCTCTTCAGGTAGTTATTTATGACTGTATACGGGGAGGCAAATTTTAAATGCATCACTTCTGGGGAATATTCCTTCTTTCTGTTTTTTCTCCATTTTTTTCTCCATTTGCGATTTCTTGATGTAAAAGGGAAGGGCAGCAGAGGATGAGATCTGTATTGCAGAAGCTTCCCAAGATGAGTAAATATCAAGAATTCCTTGACATTCTAGAAAATGAAATTTACCAGTGTATGTTTATGGAAAATTCCTGGGGGGGGAAAAAAAGATACATGGGAGAGAAGAACAGACTCATGCTGCTGACTGACTCATATGGTAGATAAGTTTTGAATAAGTATAGTAGTATCAGTTGTTCTCAGCTAGCCACAACTTAGATGATCAAGTAACACTTTCAGTTGTTTGGAACTGAAAATGCTTTAATGATTAGGCTTACATCTGATGACAGGAACTAGCCTTAGGCTGAAACTCTATGGAGAACCAGCTGTTCCAGACCATTATTAGAGTGCAGGATTTTTTTCCCAGTCTCCACCTCTCTTTCACAGAATTAATATGGTCGAGGGGCATTACAATGTGATAGCACTCCAGTGCTTTACAGAACTAATTCAGAATTTATCATGGTGGAGATCATCATGCTAGAAGTGTGACTTCTGCTGTTACCATGGAAGCTCCCTTCAATTAACCTAAGCTGTAACTTTTCAGAAGTCGTGAGACATGTGTTTTCTTGGAAGAGAACTTAAGCAGAATAACCTAATTTCTAGTAACATAGAACAGACCAAGGCAAGTCAATAATTTTAAAAATACAGTTTGCATAAAATGTATAATGACTAATCCTTTTACAAACGCATCGGAAGCAGAAGTCCTTTTCCTGAGTCCATAGGGCTAATAAATGACGGGGGTTTTAAAGGAATGCTTTATAGGAATACTTGCAAAGCTCTACTAGCAATGCTGCATTGTTGGTCTCTGGCCTCATTTGCTATGGAGAAGCTTAGGGATATTCCTGAAAAAAAGAATCCTTTTCCAAAGAGGACTTGTGAGATGATTCCTTCTAGGCAGAATAGAAGAGGTTGCACAACAACAGACAAACTGAAGGAATAATACATACCTGGTGCTAAGCAGAACTCTCAGAGCTGTGAACTGCCTGTATAATCTTGCTTATAGCTGGCACAGTACCAAAGATTTTGAAAATACTGAACGAGGCAGGACCTTTTAAAGAGTTGCAAGAGGCTGGAGTAGTTATAGCTGGCTAGTATCAACTAGTAAGTCTGATATTTCCACCAATTTGCTTGGTAGCAAATGTAATCAAGATTTGAATGAATGACTGCAAAAGGAAAACACATTTTGAAAGGCTAACTGTAACTTGTAATCCATTGGAGTTCTTTAAAGGAATCAGTAGGAATGTGGAAGGATGAAAGAGATCCAGTTCATATGGTCATCTTGGATTAAAAAAAAAAGGGGGGGGGGAGGTAAACAAAAAATGGCGAATTCTCTTGACAATCTCAAAGAAGCTAAATTATTGTTGTTTAAAATAGATAATTGTTCAAAATTACAGAGCAGAATTTGGATAAATGGTCTATTGTTGCACTGCAGGGTGGACGTGGTTAGAAGCCCGCACTGTTCGGAGCGTTCACGAATAATCTCGAAATTGGAACATGTAATGAGATGACTTGCTGCAAATATAAAGTAACTTTAAGTAGTAAAAATGAGGATAAACTGCAAAAAGATGCTGAGGAATCTTCTGAGTGACTGGATGATAACATAGCAGATGAAATTCATTTTAAATTAAACTGATGCAGATGAGGAAAGGTACATATATAGAGAAAGGAAATGTACATATATAGAGAGAGTTCTATATATAAAAATAGAGATTATGGGCTTTGCATTCTTCCAGTTGGAATGAAGTCTTAGCATTATGATAAGTAGTACTATCAAATGGCTAGTTCCACAATCAAAAATAACCAAAACCAAAAAGTTAAAAATTACTTGGAAAACAACAGGTATATGCTAAGACTTGGATTCCCCTTAGATGGGCTCCAAATTTTATGGAAATTCTTTCTTAATCTTTCCTCTACACTAGAACTGTATTGTCGCCATTTCTTTATTGTCTCTGAGGAATATGAAGTTCAGTAGTGCAGTTGTAGAGAAGTACCCAAAGAAATTAATTATGGAGTGTAACACGGTAAGGATATACTATGTATGGTCTAGAGCTAGGCATTGAGCAGTAAAATGTTGTTCGTTGACTATTGTCTTCCATGCTGTGAAATAGGAGTTCTGCTGGGGAAAACTGTTCTGATTCTGTTGTTCTGTGATTCTTTCTAGCATGGAATGACATAATTAAAATTGCAGATAGTTCTTAGTTCTAGCCTCTGACTACTTCATTTTTTGGGGAGTGTAACTGTCCTCGAAATGCTCTTTTTTGTGTGTACGTGGCCGATGTATTCAGTGTTAGCTTGTTATTTCAGTGAAGATGAGTTACGTGATTAAAAGTCTAAGATAAATATGCTTCATCAGATGGCGAGTACTGCTGTAGCTTCTACAAAAATAGCTTAAAATTTGATGCTGCAAAGTCAGATATTGGGAAACGCCCAATTAAAATATCAGGTGCACCATGCAAATGGAAGAAAAACATTACACGTAAGTGTTCTGGCACTTCCATTTTCTATCTTTTGTGGTTTGTAGTAAAATCAGTCATAGTTAATGCAGATTGGATAGCACTGCAGAAAGTTTAACTTGTTAGAGTTTCATCTCCTAGCAGTATTTGATAACAAACAAGCTCATGGAAAACTCCTTTCTGTATTGCCTAATGTGTCCTGTTGTTTGTTTAAACACAGCTGCAACTTTGGTTGGATAACCCAAAGATTCAGTTGACATTTGAGGCAACTATCCAACAGTTAGAAGCACCTTATAATAGTAAGTTAACTATTTTACTGCCAAAATTATACTATACTATATTTCTCATTGCTATTATTTTTCAGTTTCAGTTGGGGCAAAAGCTGCTCAAAGTCAAGAGAAGACTTCAGTAGGTCCTTTTGTGTTAGTGGACTGTCATGTTTGGGTATAAAATGAATATATGGAGATATGCTCAGACCAGCGTGGAATATGCAACAGGAGAATTTTCTTTAGGCTACTTGTGATAAATCAATTTGCAGTTGGTAATATTGCCATGAATGGGATAGTACAGCATACTGATGTTTCAGGTTTCTTGGATTTCATTCCTTTGGTGAAGAAATGCATCCATAGCAGAATTTACAAAAGCTAGTAAAAAGATGGTTGTCATGGTAGCTTCTTGCAAATGAAATCATATACATCTATTTAAGGTTTGATCCAACTTTGATGGTTTGTAATTGAGAGTTTCATAAGGTTTCTGGGCTACATTGAAAAGTTGCATAAGGCTTGAACAGAGGGTGGCCGTGATTGAAGGCAATGCAGGAGTGAGGTGTTACTGCTTGCAGACTGAGAACTTCTAAGCCTTCTGAAAAAAGACTCTAATAAATTGGGAAAAGATGGAGAGGATCTATAAGGAAAGACTAATCAGAAAAGGAAAATAATAGTGAAATGAAAGCAGATACATTGTCAAATATTGCCAAATATTGAAATATTGATGTTTATTTAAAAAAAAAAAAAAAAGGTGAGAATTCAGTACCACACTAATGGGTCAGTGTGGTACTAGCAAATAGGCATTACAGTTCTGGGGTTAGACTTACAGATTTCTGTAGTCAAAATTCAGACAATATGTTCTTCTGCAGTAGATACAATAGAAGCATTTAATGTCTTGTATTGCTTTCCAGGAAATATTCAAACTCTAGTATAGCAGAGAAACAGTTGGTGGTTTTCGGAAGATTTTAACCTCAGCCTTCTTCAGGAATATGGATTCTTCAGTAAGGGACCTGGGGGTGGAAAAAGGGATGTGTTCCATGTGACTTTGCTATGTTACTGCTGTGTTACGTTTGCTTGTGAATGTTTTCAGTAGTCACGTGCTGCCTACTATACAGAATAATTTAATAATGTTAAAATTTCTTTAGGTGACACGGTGCTAGTTCACAGAGTACACAGCTATCTAGAGCGGCATGGTCTAATCAACTTTGGTATCTACAAAAGAGTGAAGCCCCTTCCAAGTAAGAATGTTAAAAATTGTTTTAAATTTTGCATTATGGTACTAGGACAATAGTAAAGGCTAGAATGCCATCTGGCTAGGCGTTCATTTTCCATTTTGGGATGGGGAGCCATGTATTTCAGTCCCAAGGAAAATTACTTAAAACGTTTGAAGATCTTCTGTAAATAGTTCAGTAGCTGTCATTGTCTAATGAATTATCCTTGTTCCTCATTTGAGTAACGGAAGATAGAAACACTCACCATACTGCACTTAATTCTGTTATGTGGTTATATGATTCTTGAATTTTACAACTGCTGAACTTGTCTGCCTTTAGGCCCAGTGAAGAAGTGGCTGAGTAAAAAAATGCTGACTGTGCACAAACAATCGCTGTGATACAGCGAGACAAACTGTAAAAGCTTCCTGCATTAACTATACTTACCAAAACTCGACGTTCCTACTTAGAGGTTCCCTGTGAGCATTTTAGTGTATGAATTCAGAGTGGGGCCTGTTTGCCCCTGTAGTAAGCGTTAGACCTGCTTTTCCACATTCTCTGCATGTGGTTTATAAAGGGCAGTTCATTCTTTACATTCCACATTTTCTGTATGGATGGTGGGTTTTTCCTGCTGTTAATTAATGATGGCAGTTACCTTGGAAATCAAAGCATCTAGTCTCATAGGCAAGTTATTTTCTTTGAAAAATGGGGGCTTTTTAAGGTGACCCCTTTTTGAGGAAAGGGGGAAGTTTGTTCTCTTGCCAGAGAGCGTGGGGATTAAACCTGTTGTAACAGGGTAACTTTGTCCTCTCCCTGTCACTTGCATAGTGGGGGCTGAGATGCTTTGGATAAAAAAGCCAATGGTATGATATGGAACAAGGTGCAGTAACTCCCAACTGCGTAGTCAGTGTGAGTCCTTCAGAGCTGTTCATTTGGATCAGTGTGACCTAAGCAAACTCCTGTAGGGCCTCTTAACTCTCTATACCTCAGTCCTCATGTGTTGTCTCTGTTTTATCTATTATAGATAACTTGAATATAAATTGATGATGTTTAGAATGTTTTTTCTGTAGATAAGGGCTTAGAGGACCAGATTTCAAGATGTTGGTCACTGCTTCTCCTTTTTGGAGACTCTTTTATGAGTCATTGCTTCTCCTTAATTCTGTATTGAACAATTTAAGTGGGCTTTTTGTTTTCAATTTCTGCCTCTTTGTAATGCAGTGAGTGCATTTTAGCCCCATAAACCTGAGGGGCAGTTAACAGGTGCCAAATGAATGGATTGGTCACGAAGTTAGTTTTCCTCCACTAAAAGGAATTTAGATGGCGTTAACAGTAGTTATGTAAAAGTTTACACATCCAGTGTTTCTCAACATTAAAGTAGTAGAAACTTCATAAGCCTGTTAAACTTGCCCTATTTCAGTGTTTGCATAACATTTAGAGATGCTGATGAATGAATAATACTGATGAATAGTTTGGTCCAGCTCCAAAGCTTTCAAGGTTTTATTCTTTTGAGGCAGGAGGAAACGAAAGTATGATATTATGTCCCACAGTAATTAATGAGAATCAATTTCTTCAAAAAAGTTGTCCTTCAGAAGTATTTTTCTCCTGTTTTCTTCCTTGTCACAGATGTGCTGCTGGCCCATTTTTCTTATTTCTTCTGTTAAGCTTGTTTTGTCAGAACTAGTGATAAGAAGGAAGCTGCTTTTCATTCTTTATCTCTTAGATTCAGTATTAACTTGACTCCTTAAATTGTAGTAATGTACGCATATAGCCTGTAATATATTTTTTCTTTTCTTTAGCCAAGAAGACTGGAAAGGTGATCATTATAGGTTCTGGAGTCTCTGGGTTGGCAGCAGCTCGCCAGCTGCAGAGTTTTGGGATGGATGTCACAGTCCTGGAAGCCAGGGTATGAAACTTCTGTGCTGTTTTACTTCTCTCTGGAAATTTAAGTGCTAATTGTGTTCAGTGCTAGGGTAAGGCCAAGTATCCCAACAGCATGCCCAAAGATGAATAAATGTGTGTGTAGTCACATCCAGCTGGAATGTACTACTGTCTCACCAGCAAACAGGTGTATCTGTTTGCATTGGCAGTTGACTAATACTTTGTCAGGGGAGGGCTGTATGATCAGGTGCCAGTGCCATATACTCACACCAGTAATATGCTAGAATCTTCTTTTCGTGATTAGGAAGATTAGGAACCGTTTTTTCACTTAGAAGTAAAATGCAAGTTTATTTCACAGACTTACCCGTTAAATAGAGTTATTGTTTGGATTTTTCACCAGTGTTATCTCCTTCTTCCATTGTTATCAAGCAGGATTTTTTTTCTTGCTGCTTTTAGCAGTCTGCATTAACTCTTGTTTTTCCTCTGTATTTGTCACTGTGTGCTTGACGTAGTTGTTAAAGTTATATAGAGGTTTAACTTCTTGTGCATGAAGTAGGTGATTCTTTTTCCAGTATTAAGATACTATTACTATCCCAATAAGCAGAATTTATTTTTAAGTTCAGTTTTTTTCATATAATCTAATTGATTGAAGACTTCTCGGTACTCATGTTAAACGAATAAATCCACTGAGTATTTAAGATGAGATTTATCTTCTGTTTTACTTTCTGGCTTCATTTTGTGTATGTGTTAGCTTCTGACACTCTTCTAGCACAGATTACTCTAATAAAAACTTGTATAGATTAATGCTTCAGACATTTCTTTTTGCTGGTTACTGCTGTTGTCGATAGGTAGTGACAGTTACTGGCTCAGTTTCATGGGTTACGTACCGACAGAGCTAAGGAGAATGCAAGTTTAGGATACTTGCATTAGAATCTAATGGTTGAAGACTCTTTTGCTCACCTGTATGTGTTGTGTTTTACAACTGGAAGAAAGACATTCATGCTGTAATCTGAGATTTGTTGTCTGCATTTGAAGATAGCAGTTCTGAAAACCTGTGTGTAAATCTGCTAATCTATTTTAGAATAACTTGCAAATCCTTTTTTAAGAGTCATTTTTCTCTGGACTGCTGCTTATTATTGGCAGCCAATTTTTTTTTTTTTAAAGCTGTCTTTAAGAGGGAATCTATAAACGTCAGTAGTATGTGTCAAGAATGAAACATTTTTTCCTACTTATAAAGAAATGGCCCATTTTAGAGTTATCTTCGTGACTGATGGCTGGCTCTTCTGTGGAGGATAAGCAGGAAAAGTTGGCGGCTGATCTTTCTAACACTAAAATTTAGTTTTTGCTTTTCCATACTTGAATCATTTCCAGTATAGCTATTGGCATTTGTGGTAGTAATTGGAAGAAGGAATTTTAATATATAATTTAATCTTTCTATGGTCAGTTAAGGGTTCTTTGAATCACAGTAGATCCTGCTG